ACAGACAGACAGACAGAGAGACAGACAGACAGACAGACACAGACAGAGAGACAGACAGACAGACAGAGAGACAGACACAGACAGACAGACAGAGAGACCGACACACAGACACACAGACACACAGACAGACAGACAGACAGACACACAGACACACAGACTCTAGACAGCGATAAAAAGATGAAGTGCTTTCCGTATTTTTTATTAATGAACTTTTCTTACTGAAGAGCCTAAAGGGATGAAATATAAATGATTTGTTTTTACACATATTTGAACATGTGTACATCTGGAAGATGATTGTATGAGATACATAAATTAGTTTTCTTCAGTAATCTCTCTGGTTTTGCTAATAATGAACATACATATATCTAAATCTAAATCTCTGTATCTCACAGAATGGATTATGACAAACCACCAAGTCTTTCTTTTATACCACTTAATAAAAGGACAGACTGATTATTCTGCCGTTGGAGCTTCTTCATACTGGAAACTCACATGAGCTATTAGTGACAGATCTGGAATCTGGGCAGCCAATAGTTTCTATTTAATAGACTTTTGCTGATGATATAAAGGCAGCTAATTAAGGATTGCAACTCACTCAAGCATTTTCCTGTATGTTTATGAAAATAAAGAAATTGGGGGAAAATTTGTGCAGTTTTTGTCTTGGTGTGTAAACCTGAATGTGCAGGAAATAGAAATCAATCAATCAATGAGTCTATCAAACAATTATTAAATGTCCAAACCTGTAAATGATACTCTGTAAGCATGTAATGTAAACCTCCACAGTGTTTGAATTGCAGATGGCATCAGATTTTCATCTGTGTGTTTGTTATATTGATTTTTACTCATTTTCATTTTAATGTATCTCTTAAGGTTCAAAAACAGATTAATTAATGAATTCTTTGATCAAATTATATTGAATCAGATTCTCATTTATTCCAGAAAATAGACAAAAAATAGCCAGAATCATAAGTTCTCTTTATCTGCGACATGAATTTATAATTTCCAGTGTGGTTATGTATGCAAGAGATACACACACACACATGTGTATATAGATATATACACCTCTGTGGTTATGAAGTCTTTTGAGCGCCTTGTCCTGTCCCACCTAAAAACCCTCCCTGACCCACTCCTGGACCTCCTGCAGTTCGCCTACAGAGCCAACAGGTCTATAGACGATGCAGTCAACATGGCCCTTCACTTCATCCTCCAGCATCTGGACTGACCCTACACCAGGATCCTGTTTGTGGACTTCAGCTCTGCCTTCAACACCATCATCCCGTCTCTGCTGCATGACACGCTCTCCCAGCTGCACGTGCCCGACTCCACCTGCAAGTGGATCACAGACTTCCTGTCTGACAGGAAGCAGCACGTGAAGCTGGGAAAACACGTCTCAGTCTCCCGGACCATCAGCACCGGTTCCCCCCAAGGCTGCGTTCTTTCCCCTCTGCTCTTCTCCCTGTACACCAACAGCTGCACCTCCAGTCACCAGTCCATCAAACTCCTGAAGTACATCACTACATCACGGTCTGGTACGCTGCAGCCACAGCCAAGGACAAGGGCAGGCTGCAGCGCATCATTCGCTCTGCTGAGAGCTGAGGTCCATCAGGACCAAGACCTCACGCCACATGAACAGTTTTTTCCCGTCTTCAGTTGGGCTCATCAACAAACCCTGAGTCCCCCACTGACTCTGACATCCCCAGGACAATTTCCTATCAGTCACTCCCCTGCACATCCCTTCTAGATTTCTTATTTAAATAAACTCAACACTTTTACACTACACTTACATCTCACTTGTTTATAGTTCTGTTATGTTTGTTTGTGTACTTTATTTTATATTTTACTGTAAATTTTAATATGTTCCTACTTTTAGCACTGTGTTGATTGTTGTTGATTGTTTAATGTTATGCACCACCCGTCATGTCAAATTCTTTGTATGTGCAACATACCATGGCAATAAACGGTTCTGATTCTGATTGTGATATATCTTCTGCCATGTGGCATTCAGTAAACATTGTACAGAAGAAGACAGACCTGGTGCTGGAGGAAATGGGACAGGACGAGGACAAAGAGGTGAAGCAGAAGGAGGTTAGAGACGAGTCACAGAAGACAGAGGATCTGGTGAGTACCGACCCATTCTGAGCATTCTACTCGGAGCATAATACAGATATAAACATGCTAACATGCTAATGGTATCATGTTTATATCCAGAAGTTGTTAACATGCATGTTATAATGTTAACCAGAGTAATTAGAAAGGAGCTGTGGTAGCAGAGTCGGACCATGAAACTAAGAATAGTACCACTGTAGTTCCAGGGTGGGCCATACTTTAAAGGGTACTGTGGTACTTCAGCAGCTACAACAAGCTAACACAAGGAGCTAGCTACTTGTAAAGGCCTAAATGAAATGGATTTTTTCAGTGATGTGTTTAAAGCCAACGTATCATCATGCATGATTTGTATATCCTATGAAATGTTACTCCTCATTTTTCATGCATGTTCCTACAAAAGTCAGCCACACATGTAAATGTTTACTCATTACATGAAACATCTGTTAGGTCTGTGCAACAAAACTACTTAGGTTCAGGAAAAGAAGTCGTTTGGGTTAAAATAACCGCAGAAGTGACGTTACTGAAGTACACAAGTTACATAATAAAATAAACGCTGACTTCTCATTTCAATATTCAGACTGGTACTAAAGTAGTACTCGACACAGATGTTTCCATGTGAAGATAATTTGATCTCTCTCTCCGGTTGGTTGCAGACAGGAGATGCAGCGGTGACCAAAGTGGATCAGTGTAGTCCACCGATGGACATCAAGACGGAGGCTGGAGATGAGGTTCTGGTTCACATGGAGGACAGGTCACTGACCCCTCTTTGTTTGGCCTTTGTTATTGTTGGATGTGACACCAGCCAGGCTATGTCTTTCCTTTGTTCAGATTCTACATTTAAAAGTGTAATTCCCTGTAGTGTTGGTGAGTATCTGAGCACTTTCGTGTCCACAGACTGCAGCAGGACCATCTGCTGGAGGCGGCCCGCGCCGCTGAGGAGATGGCCAGGAAGGCAGCGGAGGAGGCGGTCCGACAGCTAGAGGCGGAGCATTCGGCTAAGATCATCATAGAAACACTACCAGAGTCCAACGAGCAGTAAGTCACATGAACACACACAGCTCATACAAATGTGTCCACAGTCATTTTAAACCCTGCTTCTATGAACTGTCAGCATCTCAGGAACTAATGAGACACACCCTGATTTTGAGCTTGTATTATTTCAGCCAATGCAGTGCCAATTCTAACAGAAACAGCTAAAGTATCTCACAGCATCGGCTGATTCTTTTCTCTTTAAAGAAAAGCTGAATCTGAGATAGACTCGGTTATACACTAGACACACAGACAAACACTGTCCTGCTGTTTGTTCTCAACAGACTGCCCAACATCCTTGAGGAGGAAAATGAGGACGATCCAGAGTAAGTCCATCTTCATGAACAGCACCTCCCTACTGCTATCTCACATCCTGCTGCTTTGTTAACCATTCATAGCAAACCGCTACTGAAACTTCTGTGGTGACTGAAAATGACTTGGGCACGCTCATCGGTTATGTTTGTGGTGGATCCACCTTTATCCCACTACTGATATCTATCTTCTCCTCTGACCATGAGGTGTTCATGCTCAGTGGGTTTGTGGTTGGAGTGTTGCTTTAGAATCAGAATTAGAATCAGAATCAGAACCATTTATTGCCAAGGAAGTTTGCACCTACAAGGAATTTGACGTGGCGGTTGGTGCGAACATTTAACAATAAACAATAACATTAAACTATCAGCAATCAACACAGTGCGAGAAATATAAACATTAAAATTTACAATAAAATATAAAATAAAGTGCACAACAAAACAGATAACAGGACTGTAAAACAAGTCAAGTATAAGTGAAATGTTAAAAGTGACGAGAGTGTTTAAATAAAGAAACAGGGATGTGCAGGGGAGAGCCCAGAAGGAAATGTCCTGGGGATGACAGTCAGTGGGGGACCCGGGCTTTGTTAATAAGCCCAACTGCGGACGGGAAGAAACTGTTTGTGTGGCGTGAGGTCTTGGTTCTGATGGCCCGCAGCCTCCTGCCAGATGGAAGGGGCACAAACAGATCATGTCCAGGGTGAGAGGGGTCGGCTACAATCTTTCGTGCTCGCTTCAGGGTCCTTGAAGCGAACAGGTCCTGGAGGGACAGCAGATTGCAACCAATCACCCTCTCAGCAGAGCGAATGATGTGCTGCAGTCTGCCCTTGTCCTTGGCTGTGGCTGCAGCGTACCAGACCGTGATGGAGGAGCAGAGGATGGACTCAATGATGGCTGTGTAGAAATGCACCATCATTGACTTTGGCAGGATGAATTTCTTCAGCTGCCTCAAAAAGTATATCCTCTGCTGAGCCTTCTTGGTGATGGAGCTGATGTTCAGCTCCTACTTGAGGTCCTGGGATATGATGGAGCCCAGGAAGCGGAAGGACTCCACCACGTCGACGGGGGTGTCACACACAGTGATGGGGGCTGGTGGGGCTGCGTTCTTCCTGAAATCCACAACTATCTCCACTGTCTTTAGAGCGTTGAGCTCCAAGTTGTTCAGACCGCACCAGGTCACCAGATGGTCAGTCTCCCACCTGTAGGCGGACTCATCCCCACCAGAGATGAGTCCAATGAGGGTAGTGTCATCCGCGAACTTCAGGAGCTTGACGGACTGGTGAGTGGAGGTGCAGCTGTTGGTGTACAGGGAGAAGAGCAGAGGGGAAAGAACGCAGCCTTGGGGGAAACCGGTGCTGATGGTCCTGGAGGTTGAGACGTGGCGCTGGGATGGGTGATACATTGGCATGGGCCCCTGCTGAGCTGGGGGAGGGGTGGCTGGTGGTCTGGGGCTGGTTGATGGGGCTGTGGGGGATGGAGTCAGGACTGTCCCATTGTCTTTCGAATCTGCAGTAGAACTCGTTCAGCTCGTCTGCCAGGCGGAGGTCGTTCATGGAGTGGGGGGTTTTTGGCTTGTAGTTGGTAATCTGTCTGAGACCTCTCCAGACAGAAGCAGAGTCATTGGCTGAGAGCTGATGTTGCAGTTTCTCAGAGTACAGTCGTTTAGCATCTCTCACCGCCTTGCTAAACCTGTACTTTGACTCTTTGTACAAGTCCTTGTCCCCACTCCTAAAAGCCTGATCTTTCTGCAGCCTAAGCTTTCTGAGTTCTGCTGTGAACCAGGGTTTGTCATTGTTGTAACTCACCCTGGTGCTTGTTGGAACACAGCTGTCCTCACAGAAGCTGATATATGAAGTCACAGCCTCTGTGTACTCATCCAGACTGTTGGTAGCAGTCCTGAATACATTCCAGTCTGTACAGTCCAAACACGCTCGAAGGTCCTCCATAGCTTCACTGGTCCACTTTTTGAATTTCCTCACCACAGGTTTGCAGAGCTTTAATTTCTGCCTGTAAGCAGGAATCAGATGGACCATGACGTGATCAGAGAGTCCCAGTGCAGCACAAGGGACGGCGTGATAGGCCCTGCTGATTGTGGTGTAGCAGTGGTCTAGAATGTTCTCCTCTCTGGTTGAGCATTTAATGAACTGTCTGTATTTGGGTAGTTCATGGCTGAGGTTTCCTTTGTTAAAGTCCCCAAGGACAATAACTAGAGAGTCCGGGTAGGTCCGCTCCACACACCTTATCTGATCGGTGAGTGTCCGCTGTTCCTCCTGCACGTTACCCTACGGTGGCATGTAAACACCGATCAGAATGAATGAAGCGAACTCGCGGGGGAGTAAAAAGGTTTACAGTTCATAATGAAGGATTCCAGATCAGGAGAACAGTGCTGCAGAATCACTGACACATCGTTCCACCAGCCACTGTTAGTGTAAAAACAGATTCCTCCACCCTTCGATTTGCCGGAGAGCTCCGTGTCGCGGTCCGCTCTGAACAGCTGGAAGCCAGCCAGCTGGAGTGCAGAGTCCAGTATGGATCCACAGAGCCAGGTCTCAGTGAAGCACAGAACGGAGGATGAAGAAACGTCTCTGTCTTTCCCCACCAGTAGCTGAAGTTCGTCCAGTTTGTTGCACAGTGAGCGGACGTTTGAGAGAAATATGCCCGGCAGCAGTGTGCGAAATCCACGTGTGCGAAGACGCACAAGCACGCCGGCCCGCTTCCCTCTCCGTCGTCTCGCTGCATGGGCTAAGGTGAACGCACCGTTGACGAGAATGTCCAGTACTTCCACAGAAGTTAAAAGAAAAGTTGGAAGTAAGTCCGCTGGAGTTGTTCCCCTGATGTTTACGAGCTCATCTCTGGTGAAAGAGCTCCGGGTATCGCAGCAGAAAACAGTATTTACAACAAAAACAACACAAAACAATGAGCACCAACACACCGAAGCAGCCATAGACGGCGCCATCTTGATCTCATGTTCTTGATCTTTAATGTTCTCATTTACCTTAGAGAGCGGGTTTCCTGCAGTATTGCAGGGACTCAGTAGAAGAACACCATCTCCAAGGTGTTTTATGTTCCATAATATATTTTAACTTATGGCCTATAATATTTAGGAGTATCAGTCTGGACCTGATTTGGAAAGCCTCTCCACATCTGCATAACTGAATTTCAAACCTACTTCTCAGTCAACAGCAGTTTTTGACACCAACCTGTAAAATATCACTGAATTACAGACCATAGTGACCAATTGTTAAATAAAAGTGGCTCTACGATTATGCACATTCTGTGCTTTGAGCACCTTCTGCTGCAAAGTTAGAGTTGAGCTCTTTTGTTTTACCAAAGCTCTCACCTAAGCCTGACTCGGATGCTTTAGCTACACAATGCTATCTGACAAAATGAGCTGAACTGTCTGAACTGTCTGACGGGGGCTCTCCATCTTGTTTGTCCCTTACTGCACACCGTTCAGGTTGCAAAAACCTGCAGGAGTGGAGTGAGGACAGCACAGACAATAGGAGTTCTGAGGAAAATAAAGTAACAGAGGGAAATAACCAGACCGCTGTTGCGAGAAAAAGCCCATTAAGTAAGCTCAGACATAAATATATAAAGACTTGCTCCTGCAATAGGAGGGATGCTCCCATTCTTCTTACGATTTGGATCTAATGTTCCGGTAGCCTTTAACAAGTTATGTATTTAATGTAATTATATGATGTGATCCTCTTGTGGCGTGAGAAAGATATCGTTATATTTTGCTATGGGTTGCACACTTCCTGTGCATAAGCTTGTAGTTAGAGCTTGTACTTTGGTACAATCAGATCTACTCAGCCTTTCACTTCTTATGGCTTTCTGAAGTCCTGCCCTGTTCCAGGCGAGTATCGGTTCCTATATATATACGGTATATAGGGTGTCTGTCAAAACTGGACTCACTCCATTCTTTGGCTGCACGTGGAGATCCTGTCCATGAAAATCACAGAGGCAAATAGGATGATACTCCTTTCTAACTCCTAGAATGAATGACAGGGCAGTGCGGACCTTTAAGTCCCCTTTTGACTTCCCAACCATTGGTGTACCAGCCCACAGGTTGTCAACCAAGGCACCCTTCCAAGTTGTAGAGCCTTTAGTATTTCAGGGCAAATCTCATCTCCCCTTGGCACCTTGCTACTGCTGACCTTTTTTGTCTACCTCAGTGACGCCTGCTAAAGAGGTGGGCAAGGTTTTATAACTCAGCCTCTTCCTCCAGAATGTGAAAAACGGAGTTGTGCCTGAAGGTGACGTTGTTAATTTATCATTTAATCTAAGTCCTAACCACCTGTGTATATGAGCTCTGGACAGTGACAGAACTAATTAAATCAAGGATTGAAAGGATTGAAATTGTTGAAGGTGTCCATGCATGATCAGAATGGTATCTCAGGCATGTCAGGGCAGACCTACAACACACTGACACTTAAACAACCTATTTGACCAGTGGATGTGGCTGCAGTGGGGACAGTCGTGGCTGAGGAGGACGCTGAAACACATTTTAGTGTTCTCCATGTCAGGTTGCTGTACCCATGACAGACTCTTGAAGAATGACACACCAGAGTCGACCCAAGTGCAATGGTCTGATTCCAGGTAATGGAAGCTAATGGAAGTTGTGGTTGTTGTTACATTCTCACTAAATCCTTGTTGTTATATTTTTGTTGAAATGAAAAAGTGTTCAAATTGTTTTGTCCAGTTTAATTTTTAGCTTGAGGTTACCTAGGAACGAGGGCAGGACTTTGGTTCTAAATAGTTTCTTTCTGATCAAACATTCGGCTGCATGTCTGTTTCTGCAAATGCTTTGCCTTTTACCACAGTGTAGCTGATCAGTCTTTGGAGGTTCATCACAACGAGCAACCTTTTTCACATTGTCACACTGTTTTTATTATTTGATACACTGCAGTATCGATTAAATATTGATTATAGCCACTTTAAAGATGCACTCCATGACTGTGTTATAGCACCCTCACATACCATCCTTCTCAGTTCACTGTTTATGTATCAAAACGCCTCTGGAACACCAGTATTGATGACGATGCACCCATTTACTATGCTGGTCTTCATACCATTACTTTCCTGGGTCCACCATGGTACTGGGTTTGTTTCAGTTCTAGTCTGTGGACCACTTTGGTCCACAGTGAAAGTATAGTATGGGATGGATTGCCATTAAATATGGCATAAATATTCATGACCCTCAGAGGATGAATTGTATCGACTTTGGTAATCGTCTGATCTGGCAGGTCAACATTTTCTGTTACGACTGGTACCTCTCCTCGTTGTCATCAGACCCTCAGTCTTTCTTGAGCCAACGTTTCGCATTTGGGGCTTTTTTAGAAATGTAGGAAATCAGTAACTGAAGAGAAGACTCGAGCACTGAACATCACAGATAAGATGCAAACCGAGTGCTGTATATCTGCCTTAATGGTCTCATTTTGCACGTCACCTTCGTCTCCTAAATGTTGTTTTACCAAAACTGTATGTGAAACCACCGTAATAGTGATACAGGAAAAACAATCCTGTTAATGTTGCACCAAGGACACCAGGGGGAGGATACATGACATTTGCTCTTCTTCTCCAGGAGCCTGATGGACGTCTCTCCGGCTGATGCCACTCCTTCATCAACACATGTGGAGCCAGCATCGGAGAGGAGAGACCTGGATAGTCCGGACTCCCAAACCATCACCCAACAACCGGAGTCAAAAGCTCCAATAATCACCATCACAGATCAGGTGAATGTGTTGTAACTCTGTTACGTTGTTCATTCTGTACATATAACATCACACTTCTGTCCATCCTGATAGTTTTGGGGGAGTTCTTCCTGTTCCGATGTGAGGGTCAAAGGTCAGAGCATGTCATCGGCTTCATCGGCTTCTTCGGCTTCTTCGGCTTCATCGGCTTCATCCTGATAGAGGAGTTTTGGGGGAGTTCTTCCTGTTCCGATGTGAGGGTCAAAGGTCAGAGCATGTCGTCGGCTTCATCGGCCTCTTCGGCTTCTTCGGCTTCATCGGCTTCATCGGCTTCTTCGGCTTCATCGGCTTCTTCGGCTTCTTCGGCTTCTTCGGCTTCATCGGCTTCTTCGGCTTCTTCGGCTTCATGGTCTTCATCAGCTGACGGGGTTTGCTTGGTTGTCATGGAGATGGATGTGTTGACATGACAGCTTATGAGCTGTTGGGATTTCCTCCAAAGGACTTTATGTTCACGTCGTGAAAAGAAGGGTTAGGAAGAATTCAAGTTCTTTTCTGGGAAAGAAAACTACTCCAACGACACGTCGTCAACTCAACAAACTCCTTCTGCTCATAAAGACCGTATAATAATTAAATGTGATGCTTCATAAAATAAATTTACTTTTTCATTTTGACAAATATAAATATAGACAAAGTGTGAATTATAATTTATTCATTATGATTAAAAGGTGAGCAGAGATTTTAAATATGTTTTTCTCTCTTTTCTTATTCTCTCAGGCCAATGCAGCAGAAGGTGGATGTGGAGGTGAGAGCACAACACAACAAAAATATAAATATATCTGTTACACAAATATAAAGTCACAACTCTCAAAGTCTCTTATTAGCTTCAGATATGAATGTATTGCCCGTTTCTGTATTTAAATGAAGGGAACAGTTGCAGTCAAAATTCATGATGGATTATATTTAGCTACAAAACACATTTTAGTAGAACTAAAGGTATCAAATAAGATTACAGAACAGCTTCATAACTAATAAACAACACAGGTGAGCACAATGTGAATAGTTCATTAAAGTTTCATAACCAATGAGTTACATAGGCAACTATTCAGTGAACTGTGTACACTTATAATAAAGTGATGGTCAAATGTTGCTTGGATTGCTATAATAATAATATGAATGTCTATTGATGTGTTGATTGACAGACCAATCGGTTACCAGTTTCACCTAACAGAGAGCAGGACAGATCAAAATCACTGTTAGTTTGATGCTGCTGTTCTACTTGTCTTTTAGAAAGCACTTTATATTGTAGAGCTTCCTGGTCTCCACATATTAACTAACGGTCCCAACAGGAACTCACAGCTCTCAACTGCTCTTTGACTTCTGAATGTTTCTCCGTCCAGTTCCCGACATTTGTTCTCCGATAAAGAGCTTTCTGCTTCGATTCCCGCGCGCTGCTGAGTGTCTGGAGAGCTGCAGGAAGCTGATGCATGACCATAACCTTGCTGCTCCCACACTGAACCCGCCGCCGGAGCTCGCCCAGCTGACCCGGGAGCTGTCACAGCTCCCCGAGCAGGCGCGACAGTGCTGCATGAGCATCGTCGGCTGCTTCACACGCCTTAACTCCAACTCCCAGGATCCTCAGCAGCCTTAACCCCGCCCTCCTCCAGCAGACCCTTAGAGAACCTTTAGACACCCGTAGATCCAAACCTTTAAAATGACAAACAAACCAGCTTTATCCAGACCATCCCACAGCCTCTTCCTCATCTCTCCCATCATGCTCTACTGCTCTGCACTGCTTCACCATGAGCCGCCAGCTGACCTCACCTCAGGTGATCTAACGTCAGGTGATCTAACAGGAAGTGGATGTCTGTGCTGTGCTGTGCTCAGCTCTTTTGCTGTTCCCTTTGCTTTGAGACATCACTAGAAAGAGCTTTACAGTCCAGAGGGCCCAACAAGCAGACTAACCTGTTTTAAACAAAGCCTCAAAGCCACTTGTTTGGAAGTTAAACCGGAAATTAACATAAAAATCCCATTTAACTGTAAAACTGCTGGAACACACAAATACAAAAGCTGAAAGTGAAACAAAAGATCAGCTTTTGAAATTATATTTAGTCTCAGGTGAATGACAACGTTTCCAAGGATGTCCTAGCAAACGATCAGTCATCATAGGAAAGTCTGGCTCACGCCCATTTTTGGTACTAAAGCTGTCTGGTGACGTCACCGTGGTGCTTTCAGGTCTGGATGGAGAGTTGGTCATGTGAGGGTTAAAGATACAATGTAACACTGTTCTCATGTCTGGTTGTTGACGTGGATTGAAAGGTTGGAAACCGGTTATTACAAAAGCTATAAACAGAAACTCATAAATTCTAGATCATTTGAATTATTTTGAGATCATTTGGAAATGATTTGGAGACTTATTTTTAATATATATATATATATATATATATATATATATATATATATATATATAAAAGGCCTGCTAGCTATTAATCAGCTGAATACAGAACATCAAATTTGCTAAAAGCTGTTGGTAACTTGCTCATTTCTTTTATATTTAGATAATAACATATTTGATTTGAAACATGCTTGTTGACTTCCAGCCTTTTGGTTTCATTAACACTTTGTTTTTGATCATAATACTAAACTGAACCAGTAGATATGATTTTTTTTTTCACATCATGTCAACATGTTGTTCAAGTCTGATGTCAGTAAAACTGAAACAAATCTCTCAAACGCCGAGAAGATGTTACCTGTAGTTCAACAGTTGTTCTGCTCTGTCCCTCAGGGCGCTGTGGTGGCGGTGTGGGCGGAGCTCCAGAGCTGAGGGTGGAGGATGTTTATCGGGATGTGTGGCACGGAAAAGGCCTGAACATCCCTAAAATTATCACAACCCCAGAGCTCAGGTAACAGGCAAGTCTTTGTCTGCAGCTCTGCTGATCAGCCTGAGGGGGCGCTAAAGATACTACGGCACCTTAAAACGTCTTGTTTTAGTTGGTAGAGAAAAACATGGATAGATGCGTCCTGTTGGCCATCGCCATGTTGGATTTTGGACTTGAAACTAGAGATTGAGACAATAAACTCATGTTTACAATGTTTACTGAGGTAATAAATCAAGAGAGAAGTAGAGTCATTTTCTCATAGCCTTCTATACAACCAGAGGAGTCGCCCCCTGGTGGTCACTAGAAAGAATGCAGCTTTAACACTTGAAGCTTTGACTTCACTTAAAGAACCGGAGGATGTGTCCTGGAAACTTCAGTGAATATCAGGATTTTAAAACACGCCACTGCACTCACATTCATCTTTATTATTTTCTGTTCACGTCTTTGTTGTCGTGGACATGTCCGAATATTTCTGTCTCCTTTCTTCATGTTTTCATTTCTTCATGTTTATGTTTCTGTTTTTTGTTTCCTTGTTTCAAGGAATCAAAAAACTTTCCACGTTCAGCAAAAAGAAAAGCTCTGCATCTTTGTTTTCAGGCCTCCTGTGGTTCTTTTCATATTTCTGTCCATGTTGTTGTCCACATGTCCTCCTGCCGTTGACCCTCTCAGTGCTGCAGGTGATCTGTCTGCCGATGAGAATGATGACGAAATGTCGAGAATCGGTCTGAAGACCTGGTCCAGTCAGAGAGACCTGCTGACTGCAGATGATGAGTGAGAGAAACCACACAGATGCACTTTGTCCTCCACCTCAATCCTCTCCGTCCCAAATGCTTACTGTCCTGCTGTCATCCCACAGGATGCGTCCTCTGTCAGCAGCCAGCGTCGGCAGTGTGGTGGTCCAAGACCGTCTGAGCGAGCTCGTCAGGCTGTTTAAAGGACGGACAGAGCAGCAAAAAGACCGGCTGGTAGACCCGGACGAGTCTGAGGAAGAAAGTCCTTCAGCATGTAAGTGTCTTCATGTTGGTGTGTCTCTGTCTTCATGTCGTCGCGTCTCTGTCTTCATGTCGTCGCGTCTCTGTC